GACTCACTAGTTGTGAGCACAAGCTCAGTAGTTGTGATGCATGGGCGTAGTTGTTCTGCAGCACGTGGGATCTTCCCGGATCAGGGATCGAACCCATGTCTCCCACATTGGCAGGTGGATTCTTTACTACTGAGCCACCAGGGAAGCCCCAATGCAGGGTTTGATCCCTGGTCATGGAACTAGATCCCACATGCCACACTAAGAGTGCATATGTTGCAAATAAGATCAAAGATCCCACATGCTGCAACTAAGACCCATGGCAGCCAAATAAGTAAGTAGCTATATATACATGTGTATATCTATATATATTTAAAATGCTTCTTTTGCTTCCAATCAAGTGAAAGAGGGGAATTCCCTGGTGGTCTAATGGTTAGGACTCAGCGTTTTCATTGCGGTAGCATGGGCTTCAACCTCTGCAGAGTCAGGGAACTAAGATCTCACAAGTCGAGCTGTGAGACCAAAAAAAAAAAAAAAAGACAGATAACACTTTCAAACATCCAATCCATTGCCCTTGTGCAAAACATACAATTGGCTGCATTCATTTGTCTATAGAGCATCCACAACTCTAAAAGATTTCTCTATACTGTTATTTGTCCTGGGGATTAAAGCCAAATATTGACTCAGTTTTAGCAACTTTAGAGCAGCAGCTTCTTAGCTTAAAAAAATATTTCAACTTGTCAAGAATGGTTGCTTGTTCCCTTAAAGGAAGTGACTGTGGTATCCCAGGCATCTACTTCCTGATGATGAGAATTTTGAAGGGACACTTTTCACACCACACCAGCCTCAGACCAGGGCGGTATGGGTTTCATTTCTCTGGAGTAGCCAGATGCTCAGGCATGCTGGAAGGTGCACCTCACCAGAGAAGAGAGCCGGAAAGTGAGGGCAAAGGATGAGAGGACCCCACAGCTCTGTCCAAGTGATACCCCATCTCTGGGGGTCCAGGCTCGGCCCATGAGCTCTCAGGCCATGCTACACTGGGGAAGGGGAAGGGGGCTTCGCTGTTCCAGGTGAGTCCTCATATGGACACACAAGTAACCAGACGGGAAGCCACACAGAAACCTTAGCCTGAAGTGCATTGCGGTGCATTGGTCATACACCACTCTATAGCGTATTGAGAAAACCTGATGATTAAGGAACAAAGACCGTACCTCTAGCATGTTCTTCGACTGACCTCCTCATAGAAATTCAAACCGTGTTTTGAGCCTAACCCAGGCCCCTCTTAACCCTTTGGTGCTCTTGGGCAAGGTCTAGAACACATCTGAGCCTCAGTTTCTCCATCTGCAAAATGGAAAAGTGAAGTATATCTTCAAGGATGTGGTCAGAATTAAATAAGATGCATGTGTAATGTGTGTGTTTTTATGTTTATATGCCAGATACAAAACTGGTGCTATAGTAACCAATGGCAATAGGGGTGGCTATTATTATTATTATTAGCAATCAAATAGTAAAGACAAGGTCTGATTCACTTCTGGGTTCCTGGTGCACCATAGGTGGTACTGGGTGACGTGAATTCAACTATGGGGCATTGACTGGGTTCTCAGGGGTGCGCCCACAGACAGCAGAAGGGAGAGGTGTGAGTGAGCTGTGCTGGGCCCCTGGCAGCCCTTCCCCTCTAAGAAGCACTCAGAAATGGAGTAAGGAGGCCTGTGGGGGAAAGGTCACCATCAACCAGCTCCATCCCATGGACATGATGGGATGTCCCTCTGTTTCCATGATGGACATGGGATGAAACTGTGTCCATCTGCAGTGAATGTATTACACTAACTTCACTGGCTTCAAAGTAACTTTGTAACCCAACCCTAATAGCATCTTGGGGTACAAACCTTACGTGCCTGCTCAGATTCTCCCAAGAATCTGCTTTATTCCACCTTTCCCAGCCTTATCTTTTCTTTACCCTTGCTACCATGGGCTTGCACCTCCCCCATTAACACTTTAATCCTTGTATTAAGCTCTGTTTTTTCAGAGAACCCATGATAAGATGGACAGCATTTCCAAATTCTTCATATGTAGTATAGGATTATGCAACGTCAACGATCCCCCATATAGAACTATTCCATCTTTTCAGATAAAAGGATTCTTTATTGCTTTAGTTCAGATGGTAAGGAATCTGCCTGCAATGCAGGAGACCCAGGTTCCATCCCTGGGGCAGGAAGATCCCCTGGAGGAGGAAATTGTAACCCATTCCAGTATTCTTGCTTGGGAAAATCCCATGGACAGAGGAGCCTGGTGGGCTACAGTCCATGGGGTTGCAAAGAGTCAGACACCACTGAGTGTGTTATATTATAGGAGCTTGTTATATTATAGGGTTATTCAACATAAAAGAACTCGATATAGAAATATTCCATCTTTTCAGATAAAGGTCTCTATTAACACGTACCATACACATACACATTTCTTTGGAGCAAGAGTAAAAGAACCATGGTGCCTTAAGCTCCAGGTGGATGCCAGTGGTGATCAACTTGCTGGTATAGATGCGGTCTCTCTCACCAACAATGGTGAGGGTCTAGAATGCCATTCTGCACTGGATCTCCTGTGAAGCTCTTCATAGTAATACACAGAGCCTCCTGCCAGAGATTTGCCTTTTATTTCAAACTTCTTTTTTTTTTTTTTTGCATTACCGATAAATAAGAGGATGGTGGTAAGAAAGTTCTGGGTCTTTATATTCTGCAGTGGGGAACTCTCTTTTGTAATTGGTTCCTTTGTGGAGAATTTTCCCACATTAACAACAAATTCTCTAACACCACCTGGGTGCCCAACAACTCAATTCTTATACTGTCTGCCTGGTGTGAGTGTCACATCCTAAAAGTTGAAACGCTCAGTCCCATAAGATTGACCCTATTTCAGATGCCAGTTGCAAATGGGGTGCCTGGGGCATACATACTTCTGCTGGGCTGACTACAAATTCTTGGGTTCCCACAACTCTCCATTCCCAAGATCAATAATTAGCTAGAATGACTCACAGAACTGAAGTTTATTTTACAGGCTCAAACAAACAACCAGAGGGAAAACATGTATAAAGCAAGACATGGAGGATGAGACAGGAGCTTCCAGGCCCTCTCCAGGCATGTCGCCCTACCAGTACCTTGGAGGTTCTCTGAACCTCATTGGGTAAGGGTTTGTACAATCCAATTTCCAGGGCCCCTTCCCCTTCCTGGAGGTCCGAATGAGGTGGGTGGAGTGGAAAATTCCCACCCCCCATCACATATTTGGCCTTTCTGGTGACCATCCTGAAACTATCTAGAGGCCCCGCAGAGCCACCACATTAACATGAATTCAGGCATAATCAAAGGAGCTTGTTACAAACAATAAAAGGCACTGCTATCACTCGGGAAATTCCAAGGGTTTGTCATGAAGTTGTGTCCAACTCTTTAAGGCCCCATGGACTCTAGCCTGCCAGGCTCTGCTGTCCATGGAATTTCCCAGGAAAGAATACTAGAGTAAGTTGCCATTTCTTACTCCAGGGGATCTTCCTGACCCAGGGATTGGACCCAGGGATCAAACCCACATCTCTTGCATCTCCTGCATTGGCAGGAGGATTCTTTACCACTAGTGCCACCTGGGAAGCCCCTTAGAAGCTCTATGATAAGAATAAATTAATATATCCAAACCTCCAAGTCACAGCATAGCAATAGCACAGTGGAAGCTTTAGATTCTTTTAGTGCAATTATAGCATACCTGTGAAGTTGCCCAGTCATGTTCGACTCTTTGCAATCCCATGGACTGTAGCCTACCAGGCTCCTCCGTTCATGGAATTTTCCAGGCAAGATTACTAGAGGGGATTGCCATGTCCTTCTCCAGGGGATTTTCCCGATCCAGGGATCAAACCCAGGTCTCCTGCATTGCAGGCAGACGCTTTACTCTCTGGGCCACCAGGGAAGCCCTAAATTAATATATAAATATATTTAAATTTAAATAAACATATGTATCTATAATTATATTTAAATAATAAACATATAATTTAGAGATATATTACATGTGCATTATATGTAAAATATTATTTCACATGTAAAATATATACTGTAGTATAAATACCATATGAAGTACATAATATTTTTAATCATACCACAGTTCCCTTAAGGGCATTGCTATTCCCTTTCTTCACTATGATTGGCTACATGCAAATTAACTAAGTTTTTAGGTGTGGCTCTTGACAGGAGAGCTGGACTGTAAAGAAGGCAGAATGCCAAAGAACTGATGCCTTTGACCTGTGGTGCTGGAGAAGACTCCTGAAAGTCCCTTGGATAGCAAGGAGATCAAACCAGTCAATCTTAAGGGAAATCAAACTTGAACATTCACTGAAAGAACTGATGCTGCTCCAGCATTCTGGTCATCTGATGCAAACAGACGACTATTTGGAAAAGTCCCTGATGCTGAGAAAGATCAAGGGCAGAGGAGAAGAGGGCATCAGAACATGAGATGCCTGGATGGCATCACCAATGCAATGAACATGAACTCAGGCAAACTCCGGGAGATGCTGAGGGACAGGGAGGCCTGGCGGGCTGCAGTTCATGTGGTTGCAAAGATTCAGACATGACTGGGCAACTGAACAACAGCAACATGACAGGATTAGTGCATAAATGCTGCTTCTGCAACCCCATCACATTTGGCTGTAGGTCTGATAGATATGCAAATCAGGCAACCTTCATATATTGATGCTGATAAGATGTTGTGGTCACAGTCTCTCTGGGACTTGGGAGTCATAATTCCTGCAGTCATATATAGTGCACTGTAGATGCAGTATAAAAAAGTATACATATAGAAAAAGTTATTGGGAGGATTAAATTAGGTAACACATCTTCAGTCAGTTCAGTCGCTCAGTCATGTCCAACTCTTTGCAATCCCATGGACTGCAGCATGCCAGGCTTCCTTGTCCATCATCAACTCCCAGAGCTTGCTCAAATTCATGTCCATCGAGTTAGTGATGCCATCCAACCATCTCATCCTCTGTCTTCCCCTTCTCCTCCTGCCTTCAATCTTTCCCAGCACAAGGGTCTTTTCCAATGGGTCAGTTCTTCCCATCAGGTGGCCAAAGTATTGGAGCCTCAGCTTCAACATTAGTCCTTCCAATGAATATTTCAGGACTGATTTCCTTTAGGGTTGACTGGTTTGATCTCCTTGCTGTCCAAGGGACTCTCAGGAGTTTTCTCCAACACCACAGTTCAAAAGTATCAGTTCTTTGGTGCTTAGTCTTCTTTACGGCCCAACTCTCACATCTGTACATGACTACTGGAAAAACCATAGCTTTGATTATAGGGACCTTTGTCAACAAAGCAATGTCTCTGCTTTTTGACATGCTGTCTAGGTTTGTCATAGTTTTTCTTCCAAGGAGCAAGTGTCTTTTAATTTCATGGCTGCAGTCACCATCTGCAGTGATTTTGGAGCCCAAGAAAATAATGTCTGTCACTGTTTCCATTGTTTCCTCATCTGTTTGCCATGAAGTAACGGGACCAGATGCCACAATCTTAGTTTTTTGAATGTTGAGTTTTAAGCCAGTTTTTTCACTCTACTCTTTCACTTTCATCAAGAGGCTCTTTAGTTCCTCTTCACTTTCTTCCATAAGGGTGGTGTCATCTGCATATCTGAGATTATTGATATTTCTCCTGGCAATCTTGATTCCAGCTTGTGCTTCATCTGGTTCAGCATTTCATATGATGTATTCTGCATAGAAGTTAAATAAGGAAAGTGACAATATACAGCCTTGATGTACTCCTTTTCCAATTTGGAACCAGTCCATTGTTCCATGTACAGTTCTAATTTTTGCTTCTTGATCTGCATACAGATTTCTCAGGAGGCAGGTAAGGTGGTCTGGTATTCCCATCTCTTTAAGAATTTTCCACAGTTTGTTGTGATCCACACAGTCAAAGGCTTTAGCATAGTCAATGAAGCAGAAGTAGGTTTTTTTTTTTTAATTCTCTTGATTTTTCTATCATCCAATGGATGTTGGCAATTTGATCTCTGGTTCCTCTGCCTTTCCTAAATCCAGCTTGTACATCTGGAAGTTCTCAGTTCACTTACTCTTGAAGGCTATCTTGAAGGATTTTGAGCATTACCTTGCTAGCATATGAAATGAATGCAACTGTATAGTAGTTTGAATATTCTTTGCAAGTATATAACACAGCATTATTAACTATAATCATCATACTATACTTTAGGTCCCCAGTATTTATTCATCTTATGCATGGAAGTTTGTATTCTTTGACTATTATCTGCTCATCCCACCACCACTCCACCCTGCTGCCCCAACCCCTAGCAACCACCACTTTACTCTGTTTCTAGGAGTTCAACTTTAGATTCCACACTTAAGTGATATCACATTGTATTTTTCTTCTGTTATCTCATTTAGCATAATGTCCTCAAGGTCTATCTATCTCATTTAGCACAATGTCCTCAAGGTCTATCCTGTCACAAAAGGCAGGATTTTCTTGTCTCATAGCTAAATAATATTTCATGGTGTGTTTACACATGTACCACATCTTCATCCATTCATCTGTTGACAGACAGATTAGGTTATTATCATGTCTTGGCTATTGTGTATAACGCTGCAGAAAACCTAGGGCTATAGCTGTCTGTCTAAGTTCTCACTTTCATTTCCTTTGCCAAGATGTGGAATTGCTGGATCATATGGTAGTTCTGTTTTTAACTTGATGGGGAACCTCTAGACTGTTTTCCATAATGACAGCACCAATGTACATTCCCAAGAACAGTGTAGAGAATTCCCTTTTCTCCATATCCTCACCAACACTTGTTATTTCTTTATTTAAAAATTATTTATTTTTGATTGAAGGATAATGGTTTTACAATATTGCGTTGGTTTCTGACATACGTCAACATAAATCAGTCATTTGTACACATGACTGCCATTCTAACAGGTGTGAAGTGGTATATCACTGTGATTTGTATTTGCATTTCCCTGAAGATCAATGATGTCCAATCACCTTCTTGTGTACCTTTTGGCCATCTGTATGTCTCCTTTGGGAAAATGTCTACTCAGTTCTGTCCATTTTTAAATTGGATCTTTTCTTATTCTTTTTGCTATTGAGCTGTATGAGTTCTTTGGATATTAACCCATTATCGGATATTATATACCATCTTAACAGGGGAAGAGGAGAAAGAGCACTTAGGGGAAAACAAACAGCTTTTAGGAAAGATAAATGGGCTCTTAGGAGAATAGATGGGAGAAGTGAGAGTATTGTGATAAGATCTGTTTAGGTGAATTCTGGTCCCTGTCTCAGGTGACTGGAGTCCATCTTCTCTGCTTGTGAAACTCCCAGGAGGGAATTTATGACATTGGAATTCTTTGGGGAGGCTTTGCTTTTAGGCAGATAAGGGAAAGTTCAGAGAAAGGCCTTTTCCTGCATCTGTTGTTTCTCAAATATCTTCAACTCAAAATAATTCTTAGGACACAGTGGTAGATTTGGTACCCCTTCGCTCATTACAGAGATGGGAGATGTAAGCCCAGGCTAGAGGGCACCCGTCAGTTTTCTAGACAACTTCCAGCTTGTTCTTCCAGGCTGAGGTTGGGGCCTCTGCTCCTTATCAGAGCTTCCTCAAGGATTAAACTGCAGCCCACACCTCTCCCACCTGGGGCAATGGAGTGGCTGCAGGCTACACTAGGGAACTTCATCCACTGGTGAATAACACTGAGATGGGGGAGGAGGACCTGCTGCAGGGCTGCAAAAGTCCCCAGGCCGTTCCTCTACCAGTGAGGCTGACCCCATTCCCTGCCTTCCCTATGAGGTCAAGTTCCCCAGGATAGAAAACTGGCTGGGTCCCCCTCCGCAGAGCTGCACAAACCAGTGATGCACTAAGCACATTTGATTCATGGTGGACCATTCTTTAACACTTCCCTCCTCTCTGTGATTACACAGAAAGGATCATGAAATGAAATGAATGCATTCCGTAATGAACTAACATTTGCATTTATCAAACAAAAATATTATGCCTTATGTGTGTGAGTGTGCTAAGTCACTTCAGTCATGTCCGACTCTTTGCAACCCCATGACCTGTAAGCAGCCAGGCTCCTCCATTCATGGGATTCTCCAAGCAAGAATACAGGAGTGGGTTGCCATTTCCTTCTCTAGGGGATCTTCCTGACCCAGGGATTGAACCCACCTATCTTGCATCTCCTGCATTATGTTATTTACCACTAGTACCACCTGGGAAGCCCATTACACCTCCTACTTGATTCTAATTTCACAAATAAAACCTCCAAGCCCTCACACAGAGTGGCAGAATCAGAGGGCATCAAGTTCCATTGCTTTGTCTTTACAGTCACTGTGCTGTCCTTGCTGATTCAGAGTAGTAGTAGGGTTACTTGCTCAGTTGTGTCCGACTCTGTGACCCCATGGACTGTAGCCTGCCAGGCTCCTCTGTCCTTGGGATTCTCCAGGCAAGGATACTGGAGTGGGTTGCCATTCCCTTCTCCAGGGGATCTTCCCACGCCAAGCATTGAACCTGGGTCTCCTGCATTGCAGGCAGATTCTTAACGGTCCGAGCTAGCAGGGAAGCCCTGCTGATTCAGAAGCCACTGTTTAAACACAGGAGTATGTGCCATCAGGACTAGAGATGAGGCGAGCCAGTGAGGAATGACAAAGGAAACGTGCTGGGAGTTTGGCAGGTGTGTGTAACAGGGAATTCTCTGAGTGAGCTTCTCAGCAGAACAAAAGTGAAAGTGAGAGTTGCTCAGTCATGTCCTACTCTTTGCGACCCCATGGACTATATATACAGTCCGTGGAATTCTCCAGGCCAGAATACTGGAGTGGGTAGCCTTTCCCTTCTCCAGGGGATCTTTCCAACCCAGGGATCGAACCCAGGTCTCCCGCATTGCGGGCGGATTCTTTTACCAACTGAGCCACAGTTCAGTTCAGTTCAGTCGCTCAGTTGTGTCCAACTCTTTGCAACCCCATGGACTGCAGCACGCCAGGCCTCCCTGTCCATCACCAACTCCTGGAGTTTACTCAAACTCATGACCATTGAGTCGGTGATGCCATCCAACCATCTCGTCCTCTGTCATCCCCTTTTCCTCCTGCCTTCAATCTTTCCCAGCATCAGGGTCTTTTCAAATGAGTCAGCTCTTTCAAATGAGTCAGCTCTTCACATAAGGTGGCCAAAGTACTGGAGTTTCAGCTTCAACATCAATCCTTCCAGTGAACATTCAGGACTGATTTCCTTTAGGATGGACTGGTTGGATCTTCTTGCAGTCCAAGGGACTCTCAACAGTCTTCCTCAACTCCACAGTTCAAAAGCATCGATTCTTTGGTGCTCAGTTTTCCTTATAGTCCAACTCTCACATCCATACATGACTAATGGAAAAGTCATGTTGGCATGACTTTGTTGGCAAAGTAATGTCTCTGATTTTTAATATACTGTCTAGGTTGGTCATAACTTTTCTTCCAAGGAGCAAGCATCTTTTAATTTCATGGCTGCAGTCACCACCTGCAGTGATTTTGAAGCCCCCCAAAATAAAGTCTGTCACTGTTTCCACTGTTTCCCCATCTCTTTGCCATGAAGTGATGGGACCAGATGCCATGATCTTTCTTTTCTGAATGTTGAGCTTTAAGCCAAGGGGAGGCCCAAGAATCTTGTTCAGTAGAACAAAACACTTACTAATGAATATGCAGTAAAAGGTGCTAATTTCAAGTTTAATTGTAGCTCAGTCAGTAAAGAATCTGCCTGCAGTGCAGGAAACCTTGGTTCAATCCCTGGGTCGGGAAGATCCTCTGGAGAAGGAAATGGCAACCCACTCCAGTACTGTTGCCTGGAGAATCTCATGGACAGAGGAACCTGGTGGGCTGCAGTCCATGGGGTTGCAAAGAGTCGGGCATGACTGGGCAACTAACACTTACTTATTACAAAAAATTCAGCAGTAACTGAAACAATTATTTAAAACTTCAACCAATAAAAGACTTTCAGAGTGAAGTATTTTATCACTGACAGAGTTTAGAACTGCCAGCACATGGCAAGAATAAAAGGCAGATAGACTTTATTCTGTTAATGTTTTAAAATTCTCTACATACACCCCTCGCATTGCCTACACTTGGAGTATACGGCTCCACCATCCTGACCTTTGTACATCACAAGCACAAGCTGTCCCACCCTCATGACCACCCTCAGGCCCATCACCTGTCACCCCTGCGCCCTGCAGGCTGACTGATCACATTGCTGGGATGGTAGGCCCTGAGGCCAAGACTGCTTTTAACTTTCTCTGGCCTCCAAGACTTACCCCTTCCCTAGACCTCAATTCACTTGAAACAAGCTCTTAGCGAAACTTGAGGCTGCAAGCGGGAAGGAACTTCTCCTGGGGGTGAAGCTGAGGGCAGGACCCTGACCCAGCTCCCAGCCCCTTTGGTGATGGCTCAGCGCCAGCTTGGCTTCCCTGTGATGGTCAGGCAGGAGGAAGGGGAAGAGAGGCCCTGGAACTGGCTTGGGCACTGCAGGGTTGATTTTCATCTCATCTGAATGGGCCCCTGCATGT